GGAACGAGAAAATGGCAGGAAAAAGGCGTAGAAAAAACGAGAAGGAAGGCAGAGAGACAGAAAGAGCAGAGATGAGAATCTAAAGCCATCCACCCACACACAGACTGTACACAGCCCTGGAGGCAGGAACCTACAGATGGCAGCGAGCTACGTATGGCTGCTTATTAAAGCCTCTCATCTCTCCCCTCTCTGCGCGCCGCACAGCTCCATCGCTCATCTCTGTCTCATCCCTCTGTCTCTGCCTGCCATCATTCACTCTTCCACAGACAGAGACACACACACACACATACGCACACACACACACACCCCTGAGCAAAAGCCTGTGTTCAGGTGAGTCCCCAGGCTTTGATCAGAGTCTCTTTGATTTTATCATCTGATCTGAAACTCACTTGCTAGTCCATCTTTGCTGCTTCTGCCGTGTGTGTGTGTGTGTGAGTCTGTGTGTGTGTGTGTGTGTGTGTGTGTGTGTGTGTGTTTCAGTTTCTATCTCTATCTGAATGCGTTTTCTCCCAAACCGTCGGATGGGACATTCTGGGTCGTGCAACATGATTTCATCACCACGAGAACGGACGTTTATCATGTCCATTTAAAGGTTCCTTTAACGGTTATATTTCTATGACATTCGATCAAGAGAATTCCTTACAGGTTAAAACCTAATAGATTTACTCTTGTATTCAAGTTCAGATGATCTCTACTTGTATCACCAACCAATAGGGATCAGTTTATTTCCATTTGCCATTCCTCAAACTTAACAGAACAATCCAAAGTAAAAATATATGTATTTCAGAGGCCGGATTCACAGGGACAGAAAATCTGCTCTAAACTCACTGCCTGTGTCATAAATGTTTTTGGATGATTTGAATAATTATTTTTTTCCCCAAAAAAGGTGTTGGACTCTGCAGTAGATCTGACTTCAGCTGGTTAATTAGCAGATCTCACACCGAGCTGCCTCAAACCTCTTTATGAGCTTCACAAAATCAGGAAACATCAAAACTGTTCAGAACAAAAAAATGAGTTTAAAACGAGCAGTGATGAGAGCAGAGGCAGTCTGGGGGGGGACCATACCTCTTGAACACTTGAAAGCATTTTTAACCAACTTTTTCCGGTAACCGTGGGAACGGGCACAGGTAATTCAGGGCAGATGTTCCCGTCCCAACATGCAAAGCTGCTTGATGTACCATCGAACTCTCTGCGCGACAACAAACGCCCGAGTGAAGTGTTAATCCAGAAAACTGGCGAGCAGAAAATGTTCCTGGCAAGTTTTCCTGCCAATCGCAATGACCGTTAACTCAAATACCACCGAAGAGCCCTCGGGGACGACTGGAGGAGACTGGAGGGGAAATCATCCGTGATCAAAACGTACTTCAACACAGTGTACAGACAGAATTAGGATAGAAAAATTCTGGAGAGAACACTCATGATGAAGAGTGAATCCATCTAGCAGGCTGCCAAACCAAAAACTGTATCACTCAGCATCAAACAGGCTGGTCAGTTAACAGAGATTAGCCTAAATAAGTTTGTATTCATATGTGTACAATACAGAGTCAGGCTGAAAGTCCGAATAGATCTTAAATCATACAGAGAGAACCTAGTTTGGACGTTAAAGATGTTGGTATGCTGACCTCTTAATCAAATAAAGACAGCAAATGGTTAAATTCTCAGCTCTACACGGCTAAAAAATTGAATGCCAAAGTAAAAAAACAGACGAGGAAGACTTTTCCAGCCAGATCATTCAAAAAGATTCACAACAGTGTGAGTGAGAGTTCTGCTTTTTAAATGATATGAAGATGTCCGAATGGACTGCATCCACTGATGAATCAGAGACAAACATGGATAAAGTCAACCTAAAAAAACTAAGAGCTGTGTTTAGCTAGTTTAGTAAATGTTTGATGAGTAAGGTAGGCTTGTCCCGATCCGATATCTGGATCGGATCCGCCGCCGATATTTGCAAAAAAATGCGTATCGGCCGGCAGGAAAAAATGCAGATCCAGACTCCAGATCCAGTTTTTACCACACGAGCATTAGCATTAGCATTAGCATCTCCTGACCCACAGGTCTGTGTCCTAACCATTAAGCTGTTATCAGAGTAAATCCCTGTTCAACATGAGTCTGACAGCTAAGTAAGAAGAATAAAAAACTTTAAACTTTAACGCATGCTCTGATCGGGACATCCCTAGAGTAAGGAAATGCTTTTTGAACATTTCCATGCAGCTTAAACGTGACGCATTCAGGAACAGAAAAACTGGTCTTTTGTTTGCTGAACTTATGGCTCCATTTATCACATTTCTGTACTTCTTATGCAATTATTGTTCCAGAGTCTGGATTAGAATCAGCTTTTCAGGACGAATTAATAACAGACAAACATCGATTTGTTTTTAGAGGACCGATACATGGGGCTGCCCCCTCTGAAGACATTCACAGACAGTGATAGATAGTCAATGCAAGTCTGGGGCTCCAGAAATATTCGCCTCGGATGCCAGGCTACACAACTTCTGCCAGTTTGTCTCCGAGCGTCAACTAGGGCATGAAGCGTTTAATATTGAGCAATGGAAAGTCAATGGGCGCTTTCTTCAGAAGCCTGTGCAGTGTAGCTTCAATGCTGTTGTTTTTTTTAAGGCAGGAGTGTGTGTGTGCAGCTGTGTGTCTCTGCTTCTGCCTTCTCTGTGGTAGCCCGAGGGGCCGAGCAGATCCAAAGTAATGGGAATACATTAGAGAGCAATTCATGCAGTGTGAAAAGAGGAAAAACAAAACCAAAGAACTGCTGGAGACGAGTAGAATTGTTGGAGCTTCTGGATGATGCCGTCTGATACCGAGCTCCTGGCACAAACTTTCCTTTGAATATTAAATAAGATGGCGATGGTATGCTAATGGTGCTAAATGCTAAATGCTAAATCTAATCAGAGTCAAAGCGACTAACAAACTGAGCCCTCAGATAAGACATTTTTTGTACTACTAGTTAGGCTTCCCTGGACTTGGTGGGAGAGATCACTAAACGGTTTCTGGATAAAGAAAATGAAGGTGTTTTTACCTCTCCTCCCCGGGTAAACAGTGGGGTAGTACTCGTAGTACAGATCTGGCTGATCCAGGTTGCCAAAGGGTTCAAACTCCAGCTCGGCGTTTTGGAAGAGAGTCAACTTGGTGAGAAGAGCCAGCCTCACAAACCAGAGCTGCAACACATCAGGTTTGTTAAAGCTCAAAAACACTTTTGAAAAAAACATTTAAACTACCATAACATGAAACTCAACAAGTGAAAAAAATCCTCTCGGAATAACATTAACTCTATAATGCCAAA